GACAATAGGAAATTAAGCTGCATCAGGGGAGGTTTAGATTGGATACTAGGAAAATTTTCTTTACTGAAAGAGTGGTCAGACATTGGAGCAGGATGCCCAGGGAAGTGGTGGAGTCAACATCCCTGAAGGCATTAAAAAATTGTGTAGATACAGCACTTCAGGACATGGTTTGGCAAGCATGGTGGTTGTTGGGGTGACAGTTGGACTTGATGATCTTAGAGGTCTTTTCCAACCGTAATGATTGTATGATTCTGTGCCCCCTAAATCTTCTCATCACCTCTCACGGTCCTGGCAGTCCCTGCACAGTTGGCTCCAGACTGGGGTAGTGCCTGGCTGTGCCCCTTGCATACCCCTAGCTCTTGCTGGCAGCTGTGGCACTGGAGCATGGGGCATCACTGAAGCAATGCTGTGCCCAAGCACTGTGTGATGACTAGGGGCATCCGGGGCTTTTGCCCCCCACATGGCAGTGGGGACAGTGGCGTTGAGGTATGCCACTGCCCTGCTGGTGCATGCCAGCAGTGGGCCAGGCTACATCTGTGCTGCTGACACCCTGCGGCGCTTTCAACCACCCCAGAAGCTGGGGAGTCGTGAGTCAGGCCTGGTGGGGAGCGCTGCAATTAGTGCAAAAACTCAGCTGATTAGTGCTGTTAGGGAGTGCAACAGGAAAATTATTATTGTCTGTTTGCCAGCTTGGGCAGCAAGCTTCCACTTCTTCTGAGGTTTGATTTTCCTGCCTCTGATTCAGCTCTGCCTGCGATTCACTCTGCTAGCAAAGGCTTTCACCTTGCTGCTTGCTTGGTCCTGGCTTTGCCCTTGAGCAGTGGCACGAGGTGAGCCTTTGGCTGGCAGCACGGTTTCTGCTGGAACAAGGTTGCACTGTCAGGTTTCCTCTGGGCTTGTGCCTGTGTTTCTACCCGCCCTCTGATAATAAGAGCTGAGCTTATCAGCCATCTTCAACCCAACCTGACTGAAGGCGGTGATGGGCAAGATAAGAAGCACCACATGGCAAGGGAGCAGGGCATCAGGAAGGAGATGGTGTTCGTGGCCCACGAGGATCTCCAGTGGATTTGAAGGCGCAAACCCTCGAGGACTGCAGCAGCACTGGCTTTGCTGCTCATTTAGCTGCTTCTGGCTGTGCCTGTGTTGCTGAGCTCAGCCCTGATGCCATGCATTTACATCTAGTTTCAGCAGGTGCTCTGTGCCCTTGGAACACTGCTCCAAAACAGGAGGTGGGTGATCAAGACCCACGTCCACCTGCCCATGCCCCAGGGCCAGACCCCTTGGGCGCAGCACTCTGGTCCCTGCACGCAGGGCTACGCGTCTCCTACCGCAAGCAGGAGGTCCCTTGTCTGCAGCAGCACAGCTCTCCCCTCTCACCCTCTGGCCGGTGCAGCACCAGGCTCCCCGACACCTCTGCAAACCAGCAGGCCAAGAGGAGCTGGCTCTTTGCAGCAGCCTTTGCTGTCGCAAACCCTCCCTTAAAGCCCTTTCATTTGTTGTTTTTGTCTTTTGCACAGATGCAGTACCCAGAGATTAGGCTGCAGATTAAGGTTTTACCGAATCCTGAAATGGGTTCCAATTTCCAGTCTCAGCGGGACCAATGTGCAGCCACATCTCCTCTGTAAGCTTGCTGGGCTGGAGCTGGGGAGAGGCGTCTCCCAACATGTTCTCCCATATGTGTGAAAGATGGAGCCCTGATATTCTCCTGGGCTGCTTTGCTGAGAGGCAGCTGCCAGGTAAGAGCAGTTTTGTCCTGGGAAAGAAAGCTCAGGAAGGAACTGGACCTGTTTCATGAGTGGCTTTAGGTGACAGGAATAAGCTGTAGCCAATCCCTCTTTACTTGGGGTCACACTGGGGGCAGAAGGTCTCAGCACAGAGCGCACTTCCAGGCCAGGAGTGGTACCAGCCCACGAGGGTCAGCAAACACTGTCCTACAGAGCTCCCAGGCGTCCCTGAAGCCTTGCCGCACTGGCACTGCACGAGAGGAAGGATGTCCAGGGGCTCGCTGGCCTTGGGCTGCCTGTTGTCTGGGAGCCTGAGCAGGTCCCAGGGACCTTTTGAATCCCAGAGGCTTCAAAGGGTGGTTAAGGAGCTGGACTACAAGCTTGTGTCTCAATTTGCTGGCTGGACTTAACAACGCTACTGGGCAGCTGTGAAGTGCTTGGCTTTGCAGGCTTCATGTGGGCTGAGTGGTGGCTGACTGCAGGGTGGGGGTTCTCCAGGCTGCCTTCTTCCCAAAAGAAATTGCAGTCATCCAAGCTTTCATTCAATGGTTCAAAACATTACACCCAGCTTTTTCTCCTTCCACTCAGGAGAATTCTAGGTGGTGTGGCTACGCTTCTGAGATGAGCCCAACGAGCCCTTTGTGGAGCAAACAAGGCTGAAGCAGCACTGTCACATTGGAGCCCTTTGAGCTGCTCTTGGAGGCAGCACAGGCAGGCTGCTTTTAAACCAGGCTTCCAGCAGCATCTGCTGCGGTGCCAGATTGCCCACTGGAGCTGTCTTCTTGTCTGCACCATGCACACAGCCCCCTACCAGCACCAAAGCTGTTGTACCAGGTATGTGAAGAAGTGGTGACATAAGTGTCCAGCTGATTAGTTTGTCTCAGGATTGCTCCCCAGGTACCTCTACCTCCCAGGCTGGAGGTCCAGCTGGGGCACCCATCTTCCTGCCCTTCTTTGACCTCAGCCGCCACCTGGGACTGACAGAGAAATCCAATACCCTGCTATGATCCCTGCGGCTGTGGTTGGCTCTGTCCTCTTGGCTAGTTTTGTTCTGCTTGCAGTGCATCACGGCCCCTGCACAGGCTGTCCATGCTCAGACCAGTGGAAGCTGGGCTGCTGGAAGGAGCCGGTTGCTGGGGGCTGGTGGCGG